ATTTGATCATCCTGATAAAGAGCAGAAACTTATCCTATATCACTGCAGACAGTGAAGCTGAAACTTGAAGCAGTAAACTATTCTATTTTGGGAACAAGAGATATAAAGTCAGGAAGAGTTAGGCATTCTAATAAGGAAATTGTATAGGAAAGCCTACTATGAAGTCAGTTCTCCAAAGTATTTCAATGCAAAGGAGATTAATATAGATAAGGGGAAGGTATGGGCTCTTAACAGATGACAAACGGCATATTCATGCCACAGAGAAAGCAAACTTTTATCTGAAATGGTACTTATGGGAAATAAATTCAAACCTCAGATGCTTTAGTCAGGAAGTCTCATTAGGATGCTACACAGCTTCTTATTATGGATTATTACATAGTGTCACTAAAAAAAGAAGGGACATCTGAGAGGGACAAGACACGACCAAATAGTAATTTGAGAAATTTCAGTCTTGCCATGAAAGTGAAAGTGAAAGTCGCTCAGTGGTGTCCAACTCTTTGCAATCCCATGGACTATATACTCCAGGCCAGAATACTGGAGTGGGTAGCCTTTCCCTTCTCCAGGGGACCTTCCCAACCCAGGGATTGAACCCAGATCTCCCGCATTGCCGGCAGATTCTTTACCAACTGAGCTATCAGGGAAGCCTTGCCTTGCCATAGCTTGCTCTAGAATAATATTGGATCATTAAATGTTACCCTCTCACCAAAAATGACCTTAGAATGACAAAAACAGAGAGTAAACAGAGCTGTCATTATTGAAATGACAGCTGTTAGGGTAAAACTCCCCTGAGAATCTAATATGTATTTTATTCACTGATTTATTCATTCATTCAACAAATATCTGTGGAGTTCTAGGAAGACAAACACTTTCCTGGTGGTTCAGTTGGTAAAGAATCTGCCTGCAATGCAGGTGACCGGGGTTCAATCCCTGGGTTGGGAAGATCCCCTAGAGAAGGGAATGACAACCCACTCCAAATATCCTTGCCTGGAGAATGCGTGGACAGAGGAGCCTGGGGTCTACAGTCCACGAGGTCACAGAGTCAGACACAACTGAGTGACTAAATCACCACCAACCACCATCAGGAAGACAAAAAGAAGATAGTGTCTTTTTCTAGGAGGTCTCAAGAAGACAGACATGTAAATAAACCACTGGGGTGACGTGTGCCCGGTACTTATTTGAAGAATAAACCAAGCACTTTTTTGTTGCTCATTCAGCAAGTGTGTCCGACTCTTCACAACCCAGAGACTGAAGCATGCCAGGCTTCTCTGTCCCTCACCATCTCCCAGAGTTGGCTGAAGTTCCTGTCCATTGAATTGGTGATGCCATCCAGCCATCCCATCCTCTGTCACCCTCTTCTCCTTTTGCCCTCAATCTTCCGCAGCATCAGGGTCTTTTCCAATGAGTCAGCTGTTTGCATCGGGTAGCCAAAGTATTGGAGCTTCAGCTCTAGCATCAGTCCTTGCAAGGAGTATTTGAGATTGATTTCCTTTAAGATTGACTGGTTTGATCTTGCTGTCCAAGGGACTCTCAAGAGTCTTCTTTAGCGCCACAGTCCAAAAGCATCAATTCTTTGACACTCAGCCTTCTTTATGGTCTAGCTCTCACATCTGTACATGACTACTGGAAAGACCATAGCCTTGACTATACAGACCTTTGTTGGCAAAGTGATGTCTTTGCTCTTTAACACACTGTTTAGGTTGGTCATAGCTTTTCTGCCAAGGAGCAAACCAAGCACAGCCCAGGCACAAACGAGGGACTGGGGGGACCTCAGAGAAGAGAAGGTATTTTGGACCAGGATTTAAAGGAGGAAGAAAGTTTGGAGGGCTGTGGTAAACCCGGGGAAGTAGGGAAGACTCCCCAGTGAGGCAGTAGCTTGTGCAAAGTATTTCACAGTATGGGATGAAGAATCCTGGGTGAATCCCAGTGCAGCTACTTTAAAGCTGTGGAATCATAGCTAAGTGATGTTCCTTCTTGGAGCTTCAGTTTCCTTCACTGTAAAAGGAGCATAGTGATCCTCACTGCGTGTACTGATTATAAGCATGACTAACAGTGCTAGCTACTGTTTCATCTCTAATAACTCTTTTTAAAACATGCCTAGGTTGCAGGTATTCTTATTAAGTTCCCCTCTGCAGAGGAAGAAACCTAGAACTGAGAGCTTATGGAATTTTCCCAACATGACACAGGATAACACGTGGCTTCTTTGGGATTTGAACTCAGGCGGTTTGGCTTGAGACTGTCGGTTTTTTTTTTTCTTTTCTTTTTTTTTTTTTGGGGGGGGGGGAGGGAAGAGCGCAGGGGCCCCGCGAGCACCCACGTGCCGTCAGCTTCCCTCTCCCTGCCGCCCGGACCAGAGGGAAGGGACACGTGCGTGCACGGAGGTGACAGCCGCGACGGGCGCGCTCCACCAGCCCCCCGGCCCCGCTCGCCCTCCCTGGGAAAAGGGACGGCGGGGCCGCCCTGCGACGCCCCCGGACTCTCGTCCGCGCCACGCCTCTCCCCACACCACCCGTCCCAGCCCGCGGGCGAGGAGGCGAGACTGTCGGTTTTAACACTGGGTTTTATGCCTTTTATTACATGAGATATTGTGTGTAAAGCACTCAACCCAGTGTCTGACATAGAGTAATAAATTAATAAGTTATAGCTGTTTTTACTCTTGTAAAATATGATTGCCCTAGGAACATGAGGTCTTTGGGTGAGGTGGAGATGGGGCTGCAGCAGTAATGGGTTGGATCGCTGGGGACTTCATGCCATGCTAAGGAGTTAGAGCTTTATCACCAGGCCGAGAAGGAAAAATGGAGGTATCTTCAGCAGGAGAGTGACATCAGATCTATGGTTTAGAAAGGTCACTGGCAGCATGTGGCAGCACTTGGTGAAGCTGCTTCACTAAGAAATGATGAGGCTCCAACTAAGGTGAGGGCAGCAGGATAAACAGATGATGGGAATGAGAGATGTTATGGAGACGGAGTTAACTGGACTTAGTGGCCAGTAGGATATGAGGGCCAGGAAGATGGAAGAATCTAGAATGTTCCTTTGGTTTCTGGCTTAAGTCCCACCACCAGTTGAGACATGGAGGCAATGCAGTAGGGGAAAGATGTGAATTTGGTTTTGGCTCTGTTGAGACTTGGGTACCTGAGGGGCATTCAGGAGTTGCAGCAGCCAGTTGTGTCTCTGGGTTTGGAGCGCAGAAGATCTCAGTCGAAGAAGAGAATTGCAGTGGATGGAACTTCTCAGAGAAGGTGAAGAGAGAATAGGGACCAAGAGGGGACACAAGCAACCTTGGTATTTAAGCAACAGGCAGACCAGGAAGGCTGAAGGGGGATGAGGGATCAGAATGGCAGTGGGAACCCAGGGTTCAAAGGTGAAATTGTTTATACAGATATACATAAAGCACCTGAAGATGCACACACTTCTGGTATAGGCAGCTAGGACATTGAGAGGAACAGGACAAAATTCCATAGGCAAAATTTGTACTCACTGGACAAGAAGTTTGAGTTTTTATTTTCCTTTTTGACAAGTGACCTCTTCTTTCTTTAATCTACATTAGGGAGAGTAATTTGGTTATTTTTATCTACAACACATAATGTTAAAGCTTAAACTTTAGAGATAATTGTAGATTCACACTCAGTTATAAGTAATAATGTGGAGAGGTACAAATTTAACTTTTTAGCAGCTGACTCTATTTCCACCATGGCTTCAAAATTTTCCATTTTTGTCCACTTTCCTTAATGGTGCTGATGGTGGGGGCAGAACTCTGTACATTCTAACTAGTGTGGAGATGGACCAGGGAAGGAGGCCCCAAGGAGTGCAGGGCTAACTTCACTCCTGGGGCACTAAGAGAAAAGGGAGTTTTGGGTGGAGGTACCTAGGACACATTTTAAAGATGGAGCCTCTCAGGAGAGAGTTTTAGGATAGAAGCCTGGATTTGGGAATGAACCATGAGAGGGGGTTGGTGCTGAAAGGCCTTTCTTCATCCAGACCAGGTGGGCTCCAGGTCCAGCTACTGCAATGCTGCTGGGTGTTTTTGGGTGTGTGTGGCGGGGACGAAGGACACACTTTCAAATTTATATTTGTGCTCCATTCCAACACCAAAATGATCTAACATGCCAACCTAACACGCCCCTTCTATCATGCCCCTTCCCTACTCAAAACTCCCAGCATGGTCCCTGCTGACTTTGCTGCTTCAGCCCTGGGCTCCTGCCCCTCCCCACTGGGCTCTCTCTAACCCTAGGCTCTTTGTTCCTATGGTTTATGTCTGGAAGGCTCTCTCCACATTGGTACCTTTCGCTGGCAGCCCCCTTGGCCTTTCAGGTTTCTTTTTGGAGGGCATCTTCTCCAGGAGGCGGCCTTCCTTCAGCCAGTGCAGGCTGCCTGCCCCCTTGGCCCCCGAGGATCACACTATGGTTACAGGAACTGCACTGTACCAGCAGTCTGCCAGCCAGCACATTCTGGGAGAGCAGGAACTGCGTTTTATTCGAGGCTGAATCTCCGGTGTCTAACCCAGTACAGGGACCTAGTAGGTGCTGAGTAGGTATTTCCGCAAGAAGGAGTTCTGAGTGTCCATCCTGCAAATGGGTAGGATGGATAGAGGAGCGGTAGGACTGGAGCCGGTGGAGTGGGTGGGCCAGGGGACCAGAAGGGGGCTGAATGCAGAGTCCTGAGGGCACCCCAACATTTTAGGGCTTTGGGTTTGAGGAGCCCTCAGGAAGACCAGGAAGGAGTGGCTAGAGAGATCAGAGGAACCAGCACCCCAGAGACCGAGGAGTCTGCAGAGGACGGGGAGGCGGTCCATAGTGCCAAGTGTGGACCCACCCTTCTGCCTCCCCTCAGCCCGAGGGCGTGTGAGTGTGTGTGTGTGTGTGTGTGTGGTGGTGGTGTGGGGGACAGTCGGGATCATCTGTGTCCCTGGAGTCCCGCGGAGCTGGAGCTCTTCAAAAGGCCTTGGAATAAGAGCCTGGGGAAGGGAGCAGTGAGAAGGGGACCGTGACTCTTCTGGGTTCTAGTTCTGGCTGCGCCGCCGCCGGTCCGGGTGAGCCTGGGAGCCCCTTCCTCTCCCGGCCTCAGTCTCCCCGTGGGTACCCGGGGGACGCTGCGCGCCCAGGCAGGAGCTGGCCGAGGCCCGCGGAGGCAGGGCCCGGGTGGGAGCGGGACCGCCCACTGCGGCGGGCCGGGACCTCCGGGGCCCGCGGAGGCGGTGCGCAGGGCTCCTCCCCCGGGGCGGGGGTCGCGGCGCCGGCAGCTGGCAGCCCCGCAGCTGCAGCCTCAGCACCTGCCGCGGCCAGACGGCGCGGGCGGGCGCGGCCCGGCCGTGCGCCCCCCCTCCGGCTGCAGCCTCGGCGCGGGAGGCGGAGCCCGAGCCGATCCTGAGCCGAGCCGCCGGCCGAGCCTTGCCCGCGTCCGTGCAGCCGCCGGGCGGGGCCGCCCCTGGCAGAGAGCGTCAGCCCGCCAGGTCCGCGTCCGCGCGGGCGGCGCTTCCTTGCAGGTAAGGGCGAGGTCCCGGCGCCGCAAAGTTTTGGGGGGGACTGCTGGTCCCTACGCTCCGGGCCTGCGCCTCCGGGAGCTACAGATTGCCTGCCCCCGCGGCTTCCTCCGCGCCGCCCTCCGCCGTGCGCTCCGCTTGCACCACCGGCCCCTGGTGACCCGCGCCCGCCTCCAGTCCTAGAGCCCCCACTCCCGGCGCGGGGCGCGCGTCCCGGTCTCGATCAGGGCCTGCGGTGGTTAAATCTTTACACAGTATCAATGTATTGCTTAAGTTTTCGAGCTCTGCATGCCATAGTGCAAAAGAGCGGCAAACCGGGCGACCTGGGTTCAAGTGCGGCCACGGCCAGCGGCCACCTTTCTGAGTGACCTCAGACCAACCCGCCCTACCCGATCTCCGCGGCCACACCTGGGCCGGGAGGGGTCGCCAGGGGCGATCACCCGAAGCGTCCTGCTTTACTGCCACTCTGTGAGTCGCGGGGCACCCCTCAGTGTCTCAGCTCCACAGCTCCTTGGGGGTGTAGAGACTTGTTGGGACCTTACAGAAGTCGATCTCAGGGGTCAAGTTGCTAACCTGCAGCAGCTCTGTCTGAGCTTTAGGAGGAGTGTTGAGTCAGCCTTTGGAAATAACGGATGCTCCCAGGGCGGGGAGTCGGGGCCCTGGTGCCTGGTGGTTGCTCTGCCATCCACTGACCATGTGACCTTGGGCAAGTACCCCCTACCAGTTTTGCCGCCTATAAAAAGGTGGGGGCGGGTGTTGAGTGCTCTAGCTGATCGTTGAGATCCTTCGGCTATAAACCTGGTGAAGTGAAATCTCCCGGTCTCTGTATTTGGGGAGGGACTATTTCACCAGGAGTCCACGCAGCACTTGCAAATAGGCGTTTAGAAAATAAAAGAGACATTGGCAGTTTGTTTCGAGTCCGGAAATAGACATGGTAAGGCTTGGTGAATGCTCACCTTTCCCCCTTCAGAGCTTTGGACCATCATTAAATATTTAACGGCATAATGATTTGTTTTCAAAGTGGCTTATAGATCAGGAAGCATTTCTGTTTGTGAGTCGGTTATTTTGGTAAAAACCTCAAATAGTGGTGTGGGGAAATGCACTGATCTAAGGGTCCTAACATAGAGGCCAGCATCTCCTAGTTTCTAGTCTAAAGCCACAGCCTGAAATGTTTTCCAATCAAGACAATTTAAAATCACTTATAGACCAGATATCCTTTGGTGGATGTTCAACATAGCTGTGATTGGAGAGGCCAACAGTTAGGCAAGTGCATATTTTCCAGGACAGTTGAATTCTGGTGCATCCACGGCAGAACAAACTCAAGGTGGTTAACTGTGGCATCCTAGCAGTTGAACTTTGTCCTTTGCCCAGTCCCTTCCCAACGCCTTCCGCCCCCCACCTCCTGCTTATGCTGCAATTAGGGACTCCCCAGTGTGTGGGTGAGATCCATTACTATGAAAGGATTTTTATGGAAGTGATTTTATTATTTGATTTCCTTCCTAGACTTCCCGGTTTTAAGTTTCAAGCTTTATGAAATCAGAGGACTAATGAGAGTGTGTTTTGAGACTGGAGCAGGAAAATGGCAGAATTGTGGCACATAAATCATAAATTTGCCTTTCCTGGACAATACTCTCTAATTGAAGCTAATTTGTTCAGAGCCTTCAATCTCTCCGATGCCTTCCAGTGCCACCAGTCTTTCCCTTCTTCATTTTTCAGTGGCTTAGCAAGAACTTTCTCAACTCATTCAGGAGGAAACAAACAGGTAAAATACTGATGGGCTCTGCCCTCAAGGAGCTCAGATTTTAGTGAGGAATAAAGAGAAATACCACAGGCATTCTGGGAGCTAAACCCTGGGACCTCTGGGAATGCCACGGGGAGTGAATTCTAAGTGGGGAGACTGGGGACTTGTGCACCATGGGAAGTGGAAGGAAGAAGAGGATTCAACAGGTGGTGAAAAGTGGAAAGACCACTTTAGATCACAGAACTAGAATGAGCAAAAGTACACACAGGAAAGCACAGGGCCCAGATGAAGAACAGCAAGTCTGGTGGAAGCACAAGAGAGGACGGAACGCCTCAGAGCAGAGGCTCTGACCCTGGGCTGGAATCCACACTGGTTTGGGAATGTTGGACCTCTGAGCCTCACTCTTCTCCTTTGTCAAAGGGGAATAGTCATAATTCCAGACTCACAGGGTTAAATGAGGTCTTGTGTGTAAAAGTGTCTAACAGAGTGTGTGTACAATGAATGTTTGATAAGTTAGTTCCTTTTAATAGCAGATTCATAGGCAAGCTCCCTAAATGTTGGAGTATGTAAATAGTACTTTTGTTTTAGCAATCTGTATGGTGTTAGAGGGCTTCCCTAATAGCTCAGTTGGTAAAGAATCCGCCTGCAATGCGGGAGACCTGGGTTCGTTCTGTGGGTTGCGAAGATCCCTTGGAGAAGGGAAAAGCTACCCATTCCAGTATTCTGGCCTGGAGAATTCCATGAACCGTATAGTCCATAGGGTTGCAAAGAGTTGGACATGCCTGAGTGACTTTCACTTTTCGTTGTGTTGGAACCTCTCCACCAGGACAGAGTTCCTGTGACAGTGTGATTTGCATTCAAGATGCCTCCGGAGTCAAGGCGTGGGCGCTTTTTGTTCTTTGGAGGTTGCTCGGCCCGTAACTGACACCAGTGACCTTCGAGTACTGCTCAGTGGCGGAAGGCTGCAGAGGGGTCAATGGACAGGTGGACTCTCTGCCTCCCACAAGCTTATCATTAGTTCTCAAGGACCCAGGTCTGGGGGACCTGACGGCCAGACACACTTATAAATAGATCAGCCTTGTCCATATATCCTGGGAACTGGGGCCTGCTCTCATCTGCCCAGTGTAGGGAGGGGTATTTGTAGTAGCCAAGGAAGAAGAAGAGGACAGGGGGTAAAGGACAGCATTGCAATACCTGGGTAGCACCGTGTAGCATCCAAAATACTATCCTTCATGTGCTCATTCAACGGTTATTCTTAGAACACCTACTCTGTGCCAGAGAATTATTCTAGGTGCCCCGGGAATACGCTGGAACAAAAGGCAAGATCCCTGCATTCCTGGAGTGTATGTTCTAGTTGGACAAAGATAATAAACCAACAAATATATAAATAAGATAATTGCAGGTGGTGCTAAGGGCTGGGAAGGAAATAAGCAGGGTAATGTGTGAGAAGGTGGGTAGTGGAGTGCTTCATTTGAGGGTGGGCAGGCAAGGCCTGTCTGAGCCATGGAGAGGTAGCGAGAGAGGGAGCCGTTCATGCCTGAAACAGAGAGGCAGCCCAGCTCTGGAAGAGATGGGGTAACTTTGTGGAGAAGTATGCAGACCCTGGGGCCACACCGCCTGGAGTCCTGGCCCCCCGACAAGTAAGTATATTCCACAGTCAGCTTATGTAGTCTTCTGGGTTTCTTCATCTATGAACTGGGGGTAATAATCCTACTTGATAGGGTTGCTTTGAGGATTACGTGTGTTGCTGTATTGGAACAGAGCCAGGGAATGTGGCAAGCTTCGAGGCAGAGAGAACAGCAGATGCAAAGGCTGGAGGTCTAAAGGAGCTTGGTGGGCTCTAGGCCTAGATGGGCTGTCTGGACAGATGTCATCCTCACCGTTATTAAGGAGACCCTGGAGCAGGTTGTCTGCCCCCTGAATGCAAAACTATGTTTTCAGAGTTTTGGAAAGACGAACATCCAGCCAACCACCCTCTCACCTTCAGGACTGGGCCCCGGGGGTGTGGTGAGCTGCGGCTACTGCTTTGGGATGTTTCGCTGTAGACCCAGATCTACAGGTAAGGTGGGAGCTGGTCTGAGAGAACTGGCCACAGTGAACTACAGAGGCTGGAGCCCTCGGGCACCCACGAGTCAGTCTGCTTTGGTGGACAGTGAACTGACAGTTCACTTCAAAAAAAAAACCCCTTGTCTCTGCACGCTTTCCCTGTCGGCGCCTCCTTTCCTCTCTGTCCCTCCTTCACTTCTCCTTTCCCTTATCTCTTCTCTCTCGCTGCAACTCTGAAGAGTAGTGCCCATGGAGGTACCCAGGGCACCCCCATAGATGTGCCCAGGGGAAGCTTGATTGGGGCTGAGCCCGAGGCGGCACCGAAGCTAGCCTTGCCTGCCCGCTGTGGGCCCCCTGATGGCCAGCATTCCCCTCCCCCTCCAAGCCGGGCGCCGCACAGCAGGGGAGAACGGTCACCTGGGACCGACCTGTTCCCCTGATCCCTCCGCCCTTAAATCTGATCGCTCATCAGGTCCTGTCATTTTTACTTCTAAAGTCTCTCTCAAACACGTCCTCCTCCTTCCACTCTCTCTCTGTCAGGCTTGTTTCTTCTATCATGTGGTCCGGAGGCCTTCAGTGGGTCCCTCGTAGATGGAGAATGAAGTCTGGGGACCTCAGCCTGGCAGACACAATGGGTTGTCTTCATCCTGCCTCAGTCCCTCTCCTCCTTCACCCTGTCCTCCATGCATAATCCCCCCACCCCCGCCCAGGGCTAGGGCTTTGCCCATCCATCCATGTGGCCCCTCTGCCTAGCATTCACCTCAGCCCTGGTGGTCTTGCCCTCGCCTGAAGGCCCAGCCCAAATCTGACTTGTCCTGGGAATTGTCTTCCTTGTCCCCTTGTCCCAGGCAGGATCTTCATCTTCACCTGACCTCCCACCTCTGCAGTTAGTAGCTCTTATGAGGCTGCATCACTGTCAACCTTGAAAGATTCTGTGTGTGGCCATTTGTGTGTCTGGCCGTGGCCTTGAGAAGTCCCTGGGAGGGTGGGCGTAACTCCCTCTTACCTCTACTCCACAGCCCTTCCCACAGAGCCCAGCCCTAGTGATGACTTTGCCATACCGGAGTAACAGGAGCTGGTGATGTTATGAGTTCTGAAATGGTTTGAGTCGGGCCAGAGACATGATGTTAATTAATGCACTGGGGCGTGTGGTCCTCAGCTAAATTCCCTTCTGACATTGAGATGCCTCGAAGACTTGATGTAATCTCAGAGATGAGTCTGAGTTTTGGGTTTAGCTTATTCAGTATGGCCTATTTTTTTAAAAATGGGCCTCCCTGGTGGTTTATTGGTAAAGAATCTACCTCCAATGCAGGAGATACAGGTTCGATCCCTAAGTTGGGAAGATCCCCTGGAGAAGGAAATGGCAACCTGCTCCAGCTTTCTTGCCTGGGAAATC